CCCCAAAACAGGGTTCTGAACCCCCCCTTGCCTGAAGGGGGCCTAGCCAAGGACGCCTAGCCCCAGCTGCGCTCTGCCATGCCAGGGGAGGGGGCCAGAGGGTCCCCCTCCATGCTTGGATGGCCGCTAATAACTTGAGTTCTCCAGCTTCGTTCCCAACCCAGATAAGGCGTGTGTGTGTGTGTGTGTGTGTGTGTGTTTTGCTATGCCAGAAGAGAGCCTCCTCTCCTACCCCCGCCCCCCCCGCCCCTGAACCAAGCTCTGGTTAGCCTCCAGATCCAATTACGGCTCATTATGCGGTGGAACCTGGCCTCTTATCGAGGGACGCAGGGCAGGCGGGCGGGTGTTCATTTCTGGGGGTAGCCAACCTGCAAATTGCTCCCATGGGCAAAGAGGGACGGAGTTTGGGGCCGCCTGGGATACGGTTCTGCATCCCAAGATAAGGAAATCTACGGTTCCCCCCACCCCCCCCCCGGCTGCTTCCTTCCCATTTTCCCTTCTCCTCTCCTCTTTCCACCCTGCCCTTCCTTTCCCCTCACTCTCCCTTTCTCTTCTTTCTCTTCTTTTTTTCTTCCTTCCTTTCTTCCTTCCTTTCTTCCTTCCCTCTCTTCTTTCCTCCCTCCCTCTCTCCTTTTTTCCTTCCCTCCTTCCCTTCCCCTCCCTGCCTCCCTTCCTCCCTCCTCCCTCCCTTTCCTTCCTTCCTCCCTTCCCTCCCTCCCTCCCCCACATCCCTCCCTTCCCTCCCTCCCTCCCTCCTTTCTTCCTTCCTTCCTCTCTTCCCTCCCTCCCTCCCTCCCATCCCTTTCTTCCTTCCTTCCTTCCCTCCCTTCCCCTCCCTGCCTCCCTTCCTCCCTCCCATCACCTCCTTCCTTCCTTCCTTCCTTCCTTCCTTCCTTCCTTCCTTCCTTCCTTCCTTCCTCCCTCCCTCCCTCCCTCCCATCCCTTCCTTCCTTTCCTCCCTTCCCCTCCCCCCCTCCCTCCCTCCCTCCCTCTCTCCCATCCCCTCCTTCCTTCCTTCCTTCCTTCCTTCCTTCCTTCCTTCCTTCCTTCCTTCCTTCCTTCCTTCTTCTTTTCTTCCTTCCAGCCATTGTCCAGAATGCTATATACAGGGTCTCTTGTTTGTGCAGGGAGCTGGACTAGAAGACCTCCAAGATCCCTTCCAACTCTATTATTCTGTTATTAAGTCTTAAAAGTTGCCAGCTTTGGAGAGCCCTGATGTAAACCCTGGCCATAGAGGCACCTTGCTGCCCTGTGCTTGGCTGGAAAGCTGGTGGCTCTGTGGCTTCCCCTCGTCCCCCACCCCAGCTGCAAATATAATTTGGGGAGAGGCCACCAGATGATGCGGAGCTGACAGGCATGGGTGGGGGGGAGGGACGGGGGGAGGGGGCTCCGGTTATCCTTCAAACCCCAAATGAAAAGGTCTGGCTGTGACAACAGCATCGTAGCAGACGGAGGATTACAAGCAGTGCTCATATTTTTTAGGAGCCCAGCAGGAAAAAGGCGCTGAGATGGCAACGGGGGCTGATCTTGCGACCATAAATAGCTCCTGATAGGATGAGGAGGAGGCCTTTGCTGCCATGATTTGAGGTTTATTCCAGGAGGTTTATGGGTCACAGGCCATCAGGTACGAAATAAAAATAAAGCGGTGAGCTTAGCTCATCTGGCTGGGTTCAGGAAGGGATGGATAACTGGGAGAAGCAGCAGAAGGAGAGCAGAAATGCTGAATAGGGAGTAGGAAGGACCGAAGAACCAAAGCAACTGACCTCCAGCCATGGATCTCAATCTAGGGTTCTTCTTCTTATTTATTCTTCATCTAAATTGGGGAGGGGGGAGGGGCGCATCCAACCTTGAAAACTTTAAGTCGCGTGGACTTCAATTCCCAGAATTCCCCAGCCAGCCTGGGAGTTTATTTATTAGTTTGATTTATATGCCGCCTGTCAGGTTTCGATGCTATCTCAAAATAAATGAACTTCCAAACTGCCGATCTTTAAGGAAATTTTCTCTTTATTCGAGCACAGCAACCTGATCCCGACTCTTCACGGTCAGTACTGACCTTTGCCCCCCAATCCCTCCCTTTCCGATCCCCAATTCTCTGCTTCTCATTGGCTATCTTCCAAGTCACTTTCCTGATTCCTTCTTCGTCAGGTCACAGGAATGTCTCCCCCCTCTCCCATCTCCGAGGAGACCGAATCTTCAAAGGGATTTAGCAGGCAAAAGTTCAGGCTTCTCCTCCCTTTTCTATGTCAGTTCTGAGATGCTGACACTGCCCTTCTCCGGAGACTCAGGGCAGCTTACAATGCTTTTTAAGCAATAGCCTTCATACTTTTGTATATACCTGCTTAGTAGGGCTTTCGGCCCCCCCTAAGCGGTGTTCTTTTTTATACAAAGTCAGCTTATTGCCCCCACAAACCAGGTCCTCATTTTACCTACCTCGGAAGGATGGAAGGCTGAGTCAACCTTGAGCCTGGTGAGATTTGAACTCGCAGTAATTGCAGGCAGCTGGCAGCTAAATACTACTTTAACAGTAGTTTAGTCCACTGCACTACCAGGCTCCTGGTGTTGAAGTCCACAGGGCTTAAAATGGCCAAAGTTGGACTTAGACGGTTTATTGATCTTTCCCCAACGATCTCAAAGCAACCTGCCTAGAAATCGCCCCTTATTTTAATTTTGTCTCTGGAATTTTTTTTTTTTTTAAAAAAATCATTGTTCAGCCAGCTCTTCAGCTAAGAGGCTGGCTCTATTGATTTTTCGGCATTTTTATTTTCACCTTTAATGGTAACTAAATAGTCCTACATCATCTCAAACCACTGGGTCAATCTTTGCATCTTCATACATTCGAGGGATCCACAAAGTTCATCAAAATGCAAATCAGTATTGATCCGGATTGCCATCCATATATTCAGTGGATTTTAACAAGCCTTGAATTCCATGCGGCCTTTCTCTACAAACAGGTCTTTGCAGGACATTCATTTTGGCCTTCAGATGAACAGATGAGTTGGGGGGGACCTTGTAGGTCATCTAGTCCAGCCCTCTGGCCAAGCAGGAGACCCTACACCATTTCTTTTCTCTCTTCTTCATTCCTCCGCCCTCCCTCCCTTTCTCCTTCTTCCTTTCCTCTTTTCTTCCCTCTTTTCTCTCCTTCCTTCTCCCCTGCTCCTCCCTCCCTCCCTCCCTTCCTCTGTCCTTCTCCATAGCAGTTAGTAGAGCTCGCATGCCATTTTCCATCAGCCATCCTGCAAAAATGCCAAGGATCCACTGCTTCATTCTCTTTCTGCCCTTCCATCCACCATCCGTCATCCTCTTCCTGTCTTGGCTGGCTATGACGGTTGATGCCCCCTCCCCCTTCCCATCCAGAAAGTCAAGAGCCCCGGCTGATTTTACGAAACCTTGATTTGACATGGCAGACGGGGAAGAGGAAAGCTGATGGGCTCTGTTTGAACTTTCCCCATTTCCATTCTGCGAACCCCGCTTAGCCATTTATCTTTGAAGTTTAGCATCTTAAAAGCATCGCTGAAAGAAAATAGGCCCACGAACTGCCGCGTTTCATCCCTAGGCACCGCGAGGCAATCCGCCTCTGTGAAAAACTTGGGAGAGATAAAATGACGCTTTATC